TTTGATCAACAATTGATTGTGTTCCTTGCCTCCTCTATGTTCTCAGTACAGCATAGCTTTCTTATCATGCAAAAATCTAATTTAGCATTTTCCCATTTTCAACCACCAACCTGGAAAGAAGAGCTTTCAAATGGTTGTGTGTCCAAGTCATAGTTTCTTTGCTTTTTCAGCTTCACTATTTTGCGTGCACTGCAAATAACGATAGCTATCAAGCTCTCATAAGAGGATTTTACAAGAAAGAGAAAGGACAGATCTCATTTCCAAGTGCTTGACACAAAGTTGGAGCATTTGGCACTACAGATGTTTGACTCAATTAGCATGGGCAGTGGTCTTGAATGTTCTGGCTTGCAGACCTATAAATATTTAAAGGCTACATCCTCTTCAGCCTTGACTTACAAAAGAATGGCCATGATACCTTACCATTCCCATGAGCAATATTATGTGCTTCGATTCAGTTAAACCTACAATTGCCATCATGCTTTGTTCATTTGATTGAGAGGCATCACTCCTACAAATGTTAATTATACTTCATGACCATTCTCAATACAGTATTTGTAACGAAACTTCCTCCCATTTATTACCTATAACCTAAGGTTTATTTATCGATTTATTATATATCAAGAACTGTACGCACATGGCAAAGATCATTGTTAGAAGCTCGGCTACAGATAATTCTCATAGTGAAATATGATGGCTAACTTCATAGGAACAAGCAATCTCAGTGGTAGCCCCCAACCTTGGAATGCCCTCCCCTAGTGAGGTATTTTTAGACCTCATTTTATTATCTTTTCAGCATCAGGGAAAGGCATTTTTAGTCCTCCATGACTTTTAAGTCTAATGCTGTAAGATTTAGGGAGCAATGGAGTTTTTAGGTTTGTTTTCATTCTGCTGATTTACCACTTAAATTTTATGTATTTTTCTATTTATAATGTATTTTTCTATACATTTTCAGAGCCAATATGATTTAGTAGGTAAGGTGCTGTTGGGAGTGGAGTCCACCCTTAGCCATGGAAGCCAGCTGGGCGACTATGGGCCGGTCAGCTCTAGACTGGGAAGTCAAAAACCATCTATCTACCAACCTGCCCTGGACCAGATTACTGGTAGATTACTGTCCAAAACCATTAATTAATTAACCATTAATTTCTTGCAGTGGATTGATTCAAGCTCACAATTATTTTGTGTATTTTACCAGATCCTTTATTTCTAGTTTGAATTTTAAATTGGTACTTTAGAATATTATAAGCCACTTTAAGGAAACTGTATTTTGAAGTACAGTATATACATTTTTTCAAATAAATAAAACAAAGAGTGTGGAATGCTAGAAACTGTGGGGGGGGGGAATGGAAACCAGGAAGGGGAGTGGAGTCTGAGAAGTCTTAGAAAGA